ATCAGCCTTGGACAATGTATAAAAATTTCAAACAAGACCTTAACGAGACGGTGGCAGAGTTTAGATCTGAAGCAATCAAATCCAGCAAATATTAAACCCTCTGAACCTCGTAAAATGATTGTACACTTCTTGAACTGTTCATTAAAAGACTCCCTAATGCAGACTTAATAAACCAAAGGATGTTAAATATATTGGAATTTCAATATTACCCGACCTTTCAACATCAAAAGGGTCAACCAAAAGAAATTTCAAGAATTTCACTGAGTCTCAGGAAAAATTACATAAGTTATAGATGGGGATTCTACACAAAATTTATAGTGACTCATAGGGGAAAAACTTTAATTGTCACATATCCAACAGATGATCTATCAGAACTAAGCTTACATATATAGTGCAGATTGTTTTCTTGATGTTGGAGTTAAGTGAGAATAGAATTGGCACGTGTTTTTTTTTGTAATGAGGAGAGAATTTTCTTTTTTTTTGAATGGTGAAAAAGTTGCACACTAGAAAACTCTCACTAGAATATATTATTGACGTTTAAACCAAGAATTTATTTTGAATGATATAAATAAGAATAATTGTATTACCACTATTACAATTATTATGGGTTTATTTTTGAGTAAAATTATTAAATAGGAAGTTATTATGACTTGAACTAGAAAACTTTCACTTAAAGATTTTGATCAATTTAAAATTTAGATTGATAGATAAGATATAAATGTATAAGAAACTAGAATAAATTTAATCGAACTACCACGATCAGTAAGGGAATGTCACTCTAAAGATACGGTTGTTTGAATTAGAACATATATATATATATATATATATATATAGAATATTTACATACAAGAATAGTTATGCACGAATAATGAAATGTATCCTTTTTTCCTCTCTCCACATTAGGAAGTTACAGAATATAAAGCCACTGAATGCAAAGTCACTGAATACAAAGTCACTGACAGCAACTAAGTCCTAGCCAAAAGCTTTAGTTTGTTTTTCTTTTTGGCTAGGTAGTTGACCAAATTTTATATATATTGAAAATGTGTTTTTTTTTTCTTTTTTGTGTAGTTGTAATGGGTATTTGTGTACTGGGGTTAAAGGAGGAGGAAAGATAAGGTGTTCCCTAAAGTTTTGTAGTGCAATAATTTCAAATATAAGATAATGATTAACATTTTATCTATAAATGTAACAAGTTAACGTTTGACTTAATGCTGGAGCAAAAATTTAATGAAGGGAGATATTCAATTTTTATTTGCAAGTTAAAAGACAAAATCTATACACCAGTCAACATTTATGCCTTAACCCCTTAAGGACCAAACTTCTGGAAAAAAACGGAATCATGACATGTCACACATGTCATGTGTCCTTAAGGGGTTAAACAAAATTTCCCATAAGTTTATTAAGAAAAAGTCTTCACTGAGATTGAGAAAATTAAGAAGGCAACTGTCACGTCTCCCTCCTTTCCAGTCTCCAGCGGATGCGACGTTCCTGTGGACCGGGCTTTTAAGAAACCTACCTTCGCCCACGTCAAAGATGGCGCCGGCATGCGTGCGGCGTCACGTCATAGATGTGCACGCACGTTTTGGGGTCAGAGGTCAGAAACAGACAATTACAGCCTAAGGAGGGTTATTTAAACTCAAAATAGCATTTGGTCAGTGCCCTGTCGTGGTTTCCCTTAGATTGGTATCCGAGAGTGTGTTCCTGATCGTGTATTTCTGGTTTTTGACTTTGGCTTAGTTTTGACTTCCCTGACTTTTGGTATCCTTGACTATTGGCTTTTCCTTATCGCTGTGTCTCATTCTGTGTCCCTGACCTCGGCTAGTATATTGACTATTCTTGGGTACATTAAGTTCGGCCATTCTAAGGTTCAGTTAGACATTAACCTTAGTCCTATATGTGATACTATTCTGCGTGTTGGATCATCTGTAATCCTGACAGCAACTTCTTAAACTAAATGTTAATAAAGCTATTGAAAACCTGAGACAACAATAGTATTATAGATAATAGAATGGGCAAAATACTTACTAACAGACTTGTATTTAAGAAAAAGAACCAAATAATAAAGATCGTTGAGGGACATAAAGTGCATTTATCCCCTTCTTGGATTGAAAATGCTTTCAGAGCATACTATCAATCTTTGTATCAAGAATTAAAGTAAGAATTAAAGTAATTCCAAAAGTAGAGTATCTAATAAGAACTATTTCATTAAGAATACCTAAGAACATACTTTATTATTATTATTATTATTGACATTTATATATTGCCAAAAGATTCTGTAGCGTTTCACAATATTATGAGAGTAACTATAAATAGGACAATTACAAGAACACTTACAGGAACAATAGGTTGAAGAGGACCCTGCACAAACGAGCTTACAGACTATAGGAGGTGGGGTATAAGACACATTAGGACAGGAAATATCAATCAAATAAGGTGGGAGTGAAGCAGAGCTGGAGGAGAGAGTAAAGCGCTGCCCTATAGGAGAGAGCAAGAGACAGGTGTGTAAGGTAAAGGTTACTCTGGGAGGCCATAAGCTTTCCTAAAGAGATGGGTTTTAAGGCACTTCTTAATGGATTGAAGACTAGGGGAGAGTTTTATGGGGGTAGGTACGCTATTCCATAGGAAGGGAACCACTCGCGAGAAGTCCTGCAAGCGCGAATTGGCCGTAGGGATGCGATCAGCGGTCAGGAGGTGGTCACGGGCAGAGCGGAGGGAATGAGGAGGGGCATACCTATGGATCTGTGAAGAGATATAAGAGGGGCTAGAATTGTTCAGTGCTTTATATGTATGGCTATACTTAAGGAATACCGTGATCTATTTTCAAAATCTTAAAAAATAAATAAAAAGACAAGTAAGGTGCATATTGGCGCTATTTAAAAGCAACATTCCCTTGTGCCACCAATCACTTACTAAATTTATTTTATGGTTATTGATGTGGTCATGTTGTCAGCCTGATTCTTGGTTTCTTAGGCCAGATTACCTATGGGGAAGATTCTAAAACTGGGAATCTGCTATATGATGCTCTGGTCCATGTGATTGGTTCTGTTCAAAGCTTTATTTATTGTATATAAAATCTACAGTATTGCATTGAGAGTATTTGAGTTATGTTTTCAGTACAGATTCAAGCTTTCCAGATATGATGTCTAACTAACCTCAATTTTGATTATTATTCTTGTTTGTACATGTTGATGTTATTGCCCTCCCCATCAGTATTGCTATTTTCTAAATATGTATGGGGAGCAAAGAAGCCTAGGATTTCAACAAATAATATAACAAGAAACTTGATAGATGGTGGCATTTTAGTTCCAGACTTAAATCAAATACATGATTCAATTATGCTCTCCCATTTGCTAGCATTGAAACATGCAAGTTTGGAGAATAATCAACATACTCATAGGAGAAACAAAATTGCAACAATATAGCACCTATTTTACTGTATTGGATTGATATCCGACTTTTAAGTAGCAGGGAATCAACAATTGCATTGTGTGAAGGATTTTCATGTACTTACCTGTGTGCCTTCAGTTATACCTTCTCCCTGCTGTTTAAATGCCTGTATCAGTTCGTTTCACTATGTATTGAATAACGGAGACCACCCACCCTGGGTAGCAATCAGCATTAGAACACAGAGAAAACCGCGACTTAATTGCTACTAGGTGGCCGCCATTTGGCATACGAACACGTGGCGAGAACAAAGGATGGCTGCCATCTTAAAACTCACGAATGCGGTCAGCGGGACTTACGCATGAATTGCCTGGAACTATTTTTCGGCACGGCAAACATGCGAACGCCCGGTCCTCATGGAAGTCCTGGCTGAATACGTTCCCCTCCACGAATCAAACTGGCATTCGGTAGATAGAACCTACCGAATGAGGGGAACATTCACATGTAACCTGCTGCATCATACGAACGGTGGTTTTCGTGTAATTAGACGCAAACGGAGACCGCCTCTTGCTGCTGATTTCATGGAACTCTACATCGGATACCTCCACATGGCGAGCCGGTCAAACTTCCACACGATGCGACACGGAAACTACCGAACGGAAATTCGTGAGATTTGGATACATGACTACCAGTATCCTCAGCTACCCAGGGATGTTAATGTTATATTTGTATGTGTTATAGAAAGTACTTTTCTGAAAATGTTAAAAATTTTAATGTTTCTGGCCAGCAGATAATTGAGCTTAGTATATTGCTGAAACTCAGTTATCTAGCCTGGCCCAGAGGAGGAGTCTGTTACTGTTTAAATTGGATGCCTGTTGCTTTCAGTAAATCAGTCTTGTTCCAGCATTAAGCTTTGGCTCATGTGTGGATTATTCGGCGATACCAGGGATATTTCTTCTTGTGGAGTATTGGGTGATTTTCTTTTATGGGAAGAAGGGAATGCTTGACGTGATACCATATACTACCGTCACACATTGTATAAAACATTTTTTATAATCTAAGAACCTTAATAAGGAAATTTTAATTGGAAGAACAGCTTACTTCAAAAGCTCCTATTTAGATCTTAAGTTTATATATTGATAATCTGAATATTAAAAAGTGGAAAGAAGCAGGAATAAACACTACTGGAGAATGTTTCCTACAAATGTTTGAAATAAAATCACCCAGTCAGTTAAATGAAAGCAGTATAGGTTTGGAAAAATAATATTTCTCTCATCTTAGAATAGGGAATTTTAGAACAACTGGTGATACTTTTATTGACGCTTTGCTTGAAATAGATAGCGGTCAAAAACTGATCTCTAAAATTAACAGAAAAAAAAATTAACAGATGAGTGGAGGCTCTGGGATGACAGTTCTCAATGGAGAAATCGTTGGAATAATTTACCCAATTAGGCAAAGCCATAGTATCCACTGTGGTTAAATCCCTGTCACACCAAGGAGTACCAGGTAGCAATGGATCCACTGGTTGAATCCCTGGGACTTTTGATACCTAGGGCTCCAGACCCAGACTATTTGATAAGCTGCATGCCATGCTGCAAGTCAGCACAGCATGTAGCTCCTCAATTGGCATTCAAATGCATTTAACTAAATGCGTAGATCCCATGTAACCTGGGGCTCTCCCCTTTCAGCTGGGGCCATTTTAGTGGCTTCAAACTGACAGGTGAACTGCATGCAGAGCTCAAAGTAAGACCAGCATGCAGCATTTTTAATAGGGATTTAAATCCCAGAAGACAACAATGCAGTGTAAACAGGGTTACATTTCTGCTCTCACCAGGAAACCCAGGGATCCATAGATACATAGGGCTTCCCTCTGTTAGGTGGGACCACTTCACTTGGCCCCAGACATTTCCATAAACTGCATGTAGTGCTGAAAATTGTAAAAAATGCCAGTAGATGGCAGCAGCATACCACTCTGTTTTACTTTAGAATTCCCTTATCAGTATTTTTGGGATTAAGATTAATTTATGGATTAAGATTATGGATTTGTGTAGGATTAGTATTAGGTAAAATATTAGGTTTAGATTTAAAATAGTTTTAGAACTGATTATAGGATTGGGATTAGGTTTCAGATTACAGTTTGGATTAAGATTAGGGTCAGCAAGAAAAACCCTCTGCTGAAATCAGCAAGGGAATTCCTCAGATGACATCAGCATTCTTATAACAGTAATTAAATTACTTAGATTGAGATTAGGATTAATAATAATAATTATTATTATTATGATATTTATAGAGCGCCGTCAAATTCTGCAGCGCTTTACAATGGGTGGACGAACAGACATGTAGTTGTAACCAGACAAGTTGGACACACAGGAACAGAGGGGTTGAGGGCCCTGCTCAATGAGCTTACATGCTAGAGGGAGTGGGGTAAAATTACACAAAAAGGTAAGGATAGTATTAGACTAATGACAGTTGCAGAAGAGGAATCAGTCAGGAGCTATTAACAGTTTAATGGATACACTTTTATGAAGAAGTGGGTTTTTAACAATTTTTTTGAAGGAGTGGAGACTGGGTGAGCATCTAACGGAGGAGTGAAGCGAGTTCCACAGGAATGGTGCAGCCCTCGAGAAATCTTGAGCATCAGAGCATCAGAGGTGGGAGTACGGACAGAAGATAGACGTAAGTGAATTTCAGCAGATCATAAGGGCCTAGACGAGACATACTTGTGTATAATGGAGGATAGATAGGTGGGAGCAGCATTATGTAGAGATTTGAAAGCAAGAACCAGAATTTTAAATTGAGCTCTATATTTTATAGGAAGCCAATGTAGGGATTGACAGAAGGATGAGGCATGGGAGGTGCGTGCAGACAGGAAGATGAGCCTTGCCACTGCATTCATTATGGACTGTAACGGCGCTAGTTGGGAACATGTAAGAACACTGAGAAGCAGATTACAGTAGTCAAGGCAAGAAAGGACAGTGGAATGGAGCAACACCTTAGTCGCATCTGGCGTTAAGTAGGGGCGGATGCGCGCAATGTTTTTTAGATGGAAATGACAGGATTTGGCGATAGATTGAACATGAGGCTTGAAGGAGTGGTCGGAGTCAAAGAGAACACCTAGGCAGTGAGCCTGCGTTGTGGAGCTGATGGTAGCACCGTTGACTTGGAGGGAGACAGACACAGGAGTAACAACACTTGAGGGAGGAAAGACCAGAATTTCAGTTTTGGTCAAGTTTAGTTTAAGGAAGTGGGCAGCCATCCAGTTAGAAACAGCAGAGAGGCAGTCAGAGACACTAGTCAAGAGGGACGGGGAGAGATCAGGAGAGGACAGGTAGATTTGGGTGTCATCTGCATAGAAATGATATTGGAAGCCAAAGGAGGTAATGAGTTTACCAATGGAGGCAGTATAGAATAGTAGGGGACCAAGGACTGAACCTTGGGGGACACCAACAGAGAGGAGTTGGGGAGAAGAAGCAGAGACAGAGAAAGAAACACTGAAAGAGCGCTGGGAGAGGTAGGAGGAGCACCAGGAGAGAGCAGTATCTTGTAGACCGATATTGCGGAGGATGAGAAGAAGCTGTTGATGATCAACAGTGTCAAAAGCCGCAGACAGGTCAAGGAGAATTAGGATAGAGTAGTGACCACGAGATTTTGCAGTGAGTAGATCATTGGATACTTTGGTCAGTGCCGTTTCCACAGTTTGCTTAGCACGGAAACCAGACTGAAGCGGGTCTATCAGAGAGATGGACTCGAGGAAGTCTGTCAATCTTGCATACACAATTTTTATTATATGCAAAAGGCAGTAGCGAGATAGGACGATAGTTGGATGGGGAGTTAGGGTCAAGATTGGGCTTCTTTAGAATTGGGGTTACAGTTGCATGTTTGAAGGGCAATGGAAATATACCAGAGTAGAGAGAGAGATTGAGAATTTTAGTGAGAGGTGGAGAAAGAGAAGAAGACAGAGTACGGATGAGATGCAATGGAATTGGATCTAGGGAGCAGGTGGTGGGGCGGGAGGACTGGAGCAGAGCAGAAACTTCTTCCAATGTAGCGGGTGCGAATGAACATAGAACAGCAGAGGAAGTGAAGTTAGGGGAAGTATTATAAGGGGAAGAACAAAAGATGAGATATCTCTTCTCTGATTGTAGAGATCTTGTCAGTGAAGTGATTAATGTTATAATTTGGGCAGGGCATTAAATTAAGGTGAGGTTTATTAGATTTAGGGTTAGATTTGGGATCAGTATTTGGTTTTGAATTAGGGTTTAGTTTAGGGACATAGACTGGGATTTGCAAAGGTATACTTATTATTATTGTTATTATTATTATTGGTATTTATATAGCTCCAACTAATTCTACATCGCTTTACAATATTGGTTTATTATTGTACTCAGGAAATGTTTCTGGGCATAGTTAATATAATTCAATTACAATTGGACATGAGATTGAAAAAAAACATAAAATATACAATGTGTATTTAAAAAATAAATTTAAAAAAGAGAATACCTCAAACGTTGAAATAAAATGGTGAAATCATTGTTCTTCAAAAAAGCTCAAAATATATCTTGGGACAGTCCACATGGTGTCCATTTTTGCAAATGGTATGCTTTTATGGAGTTATTTAAATATATAAGCGACTAAAATGCCCCAAAATTTGCCATTAAAAAATAAATTTAAAAAAACTGCAACGGGCACGGTATATAGGTCTGTATTTTCATACAATACACAGAGGATCACTCTGTACTTAGGAGATTATAGCTAAGTGATTTTTATTACAGTAGCACATATGAAGCTTACAAAAACAGTGAAATTGCAATGTGCATGTACAAAAATGAAAAAATAAAATACCACAAGATTTGAAAGAAATTGGTGCTAAAATGGCTGTGTAATAAGGCTCAAAAAATACCATAATACCGTATGCCGCATGCATTATTCTATTTGTTAGCGCATGCGTGTTGTGATTCATACTAAGTAGCTACCAGGTATTATGCGCAGGTGCGTGCTTGCGGGCCCTTATTCTTTTCTTATGCATGCACGTCCTTGGGATTGGCGCCTTATTGCACTTGTGCATAATTAAATATTATTTGGTTCCACCTCAGCGCCAGTAATATCAGACACTTAGGAAGTTTGATGCGTAGTTGTCCTGCCTTCTAAGTATTCGATCTGCCTTAGTTTGGATCCTGACCGGCTCTTTATTGTCTTTATTAGTTCATGTTGTTTTTACATCACATACTGCCTATCTGTTCCATAAACATGGAGATAACTACAGAAAGCTGTGGTGAGTTTTGTGATTCGATTTTAATTGATGTAATTGATTAGTCACTTGTTTTTGTACGGTCTTGTATGGTATTAGCTTGACAAAGACCTGGGTGCAGGTTGAAACATTGTGTGAACTTGATGTTCCATTAAATCCTGCTTATATTTCAACACCGTGAGTACCTGAGCATTTTTTCTGTATATACAAAATATACCGTATGACATACCCAGTGGACATACTTTCACAGTTAGAAGGCGAGGATTTGTAGACAATAGAAATGCAAGTTTTGCAAGCTGTTTTTATATATACGCCCAATAAAAAAAAGCATAATTGATTGCATGCATGGTATAATTTGAGGTATATCTACTAAACAGTGAGTTTTATTCAAATAGTTTTTTAGCAGTGGGGTATTCCTTTAATTGAAGGCACACGAAGAAGGTGGCAACAGAGACGGAGATAGAAACATAGAAAACATAGAAACATATAATGTGACGGCAGATAAGAACCATTCGGCCCATCTAGTCTGCCCAATTTTCTAAATACTTTCATTAGTCCCTAGCCTTATCTTATAGTTAGGATAGCCTTATGCCTATCCCATGCATGCTTAAACTCCTTTACTGTGTTAACCTCTACCACTTCAGCTGGAAGGCTATTCCATGCATCCACTACCCTCTCAGTAAAGTAATACTTCCTGATATTATTTTTAAACCTTTGTCCCTCTAATTTAAGACTATGTCCTCTTGTTGTGGTAGTTTTTCTTCTTTTAAATATAGTCTCCTCCTTTACTGTGTTGATTCCCTTTTATATATTTAAATGTTTCTATCATATCCCCCCTGTCTCGTCTTTCCTCCAAGCTATACATGTTAAGATCCTTTAACCTTTCCTGGTAAGTTTTATCCCGCAATCTATGAACCAGTTTAGTAGCCCTTCTCTGAACCCTCTCTAAGGTATCAATATCCTTCTGAAGATACGGTCTCCAGTACTGTGTACAATACTCCAAGTGAGGTCTCACCAGTGTTCTGTACAATGGCATGAGCACTTCCCTCTTTCTACTGCTAATACCTCTCCCTATACAACCAAGCATTCTGCTAGCATTTCCTGCTGGATGGATAGATGAGGTCACTGAAGCCACGAATATGAAGTTGTTGGAGCGCAGAGGGGCAGTGACTGACAGACGTACCTGGCGTACTATGGTTCATATGGTCACGGAGAGTCGGACACGACTGAATGACTAAACAACAACAACATTCCTTTAACCCCTTAAAAGACCGGACTGTTTTTGCGATGTTGTACATTTGCGACCAGGCCTCTTTTTACACTTTTGTGGTTTTTGTTTAGCTGTAATTTTCCACTCTCTCATTTACTGTTCCCATACAAATTATATATTGGTTTTTTTTTCAGGACAAAAAGGTTTTTTTTTTTTTTTTACATACTGTTATTTATATAATCTCATGTAATTTAATTTAAAAACAAAATATGATGAAATATGTTAAAATATACATTTTTATTTTACTTTTATTTGAAAAATCTTTTAATCATCTACAAAAGCTAATGAAAACAACTGCTAAATAGATT